ACACTCGTGCTGTCCTTTTATACTCAAGGTTTCAGCAGAATTACAAGACAATGTAACACTTGCAACCCATTCATCAAAACGGTTATTGGCAGTTGATGATGTAACAGACTTCTAACTAATTTGTTACAAACAAATGAATGGTGTATTGCTCTTAATCCTCGAATCTACTTGGTCTTCTAATCAGTCTCTTGGTCTTTCTTTCTGCTATAGATCTTCCCATCTCTTCCTCTTCACTTGCATGCAGCAAAGATGCTGACTCTACTTCTCTTGTCTCAATTGTTGTTGATGTTTCCTCCATTGGGCCTTGATCATTGGGCTGTAAAGGACTGAGGCAATTTGGGCTCATATCAATACCTCCCCCATTAAAATCAACCTTGTCCTCAAGGTTGAAATTCGGAAATTGCCTAGAGAAATCATCCACAGATTCCCATGTTGCACTCTCCTCTGGAAGGCCATTCCATAAGACATGGACTTGTTGAACGGGGTTGTCTCCACTATGAAAAATGCGAGTAGCCAGTATCTGTTGAGGTTCCAAGATTGGAAATCCTCCGTGAAAGCATTCGGGTAGAGAGCATGGGGTGATAGTATGGTCCCCTTTGAAAGGTTTCAATAAGGACACATGAAATGTATGATGAATTTTGGCATGTGATGGTAATGCCAACTTATAAGCAACCTGGCCTACACGTCTGAGAATTTCAAATGGACCAAAGTACCTTTTAGCCAGTTTATGTGACAGCCTATTAGCTACTGAGGATTGTCTATAAGGCTGGAGTTGAACCCACACAAGGTCTCCCACCTTATAACGAATATCTCTGCGATGCTTGTCTGCATTCTGTTTCATAAGATCCTGAGAATGCAACAATTTTTTTTTTTTAATTGATGCAGAAGTTCTTGTCTATCAACCAATAACTGATCTACTTCCACCTTTGTAGCAGTCGATGGTAAGTAATGCAGAATGGATGGAGGAGCACGCCCATAAACAGCCATAAAAGGAGACATGTCAGCTAAGTTGTGATAAGTGGTGTTGTAGCAGTATTCTGCCCAATGGAGAATCTTAGACCATTGCTTTGGAGTGTCAGCCACAAAGCATCGAAGATACTGCTCTAGAATCCTGTTAACCACTTCGGATTGGCCATCTGATTGTGGATGATATGCTGTAGTGTGATTCAACTTGGTTCCACTTAGAGCAAACAACTCAGTCCAAAACTTACTCAGAAATAAAGGATCTCTGTCTGAGATAAGAGATCTAGGAATTCCATGAAGTTTGCACACCATTTGAGAGAACAAAGCAGCCACCTTGCTAGCAGTGAATTTCTTAGGTAATGCACCGAAATGGGCTTGTTTGGAAAGTCTATCAACTACCACTAAAATAGTGGTGTAACCATAAGACAGAGGAAGACCGATTATAAAATCTAATGACAAGTCTTCCCAAATCTGTGTAGGAACTGGTATAGGCTGGAGAAGGCCAGCAGGTGCTTGTGTGGAGTACTTGATTTGTTGACATACAGTACAGGAATTGACAAATTCCTTAACAGACTTCTTCAATCCAGGCCAAGTAAAACTGGCAGAAACTTTAGCTAAAGTCTTTTGAATTCCTACATGACCACTTGCCAATGTAGAATGAGTCTCTTGGAGGATCTGCTGAACTATGGGTGAAGTAGGATCCAACAATAGTTTCCCTTTACACAACAAGAGGCCGTCACGAACCTCCAAATCAGGGTGGGCAGTAGGATCCTCGAGTAATTCCTGATATTTGTGCTGGAAAAATGCAGTACACTGGTTTTCTTTTTTTAACTCCTCCAATAGGGTGAAATTGACCACAGCAACTGTTTGGACTGCCATCATAGAAGGGTAACGAGAGAGTGCATCAGCCACTCTATTTTCCTTCCCTGGTTTATACACTATGGAATATTGAAACCCAAGTAACTTAGCAAGATAGTATTGTTGTTCAGGTGTTTGAATCACCTGGTCTAGCAAAGCACGCAAGCTCTTCTGGTCAGTTCTGATGAGAAACTTCCTGCCTAGGAGATATTGTCTCCATTTCTTGACTGATTCAGTGATAGCATAGAGCTCTCTCACATATGCAGAAGCTTTCTGCATCTTTAAAGTAAGTTTCTTACTGAAGTAAGAAATAGGGTGTTCCTCTTGCAGTAGTACAGTTCCTATCCAAAGATCTGAGGCATCTGTCTCTATCACGAAATCCTGATCAAAATTAGGAAGAGCAAGAACTGGTGCAGAAGACATTGCTGTTTTCAAATGGGCAAAAGTCATGTGAGCAGTTTCAGTCCAATAAAAAGAATCTTTTTTAAGTAAATCAGTGAGTGGAGCAGCTATAGCAGCATAGTTACATACAAATCTCCTGTAATAACCTATAAGACCCAAAAATCCTCTGAGTTGTTTGAGGTTCTTTGGTGTAGGCCAATCAAGCATGTTACTAATTTTGTTCTCATCCACACTGACCCCTGCAGCAGACACGATATGGCCAAGGTACTCTACTTGAGGCTGTGCAAATGAACATTTGCTCCTCTTGACATAAAAGTGATGCTGGTGTAATGTAGTGAATACCATATTTAAGTGTTGTAAGTGACTATCCATAGAAGAACTATAGATCAATATATCATAAAAAAAAAAAACAGCAACAAATTTGCGAAGAAATGGCTGCAATATCAAGTTCATGTTGGCTTGAAATGTAGATGGGGCATTTGTCAACCCAAAAGGCATAACAAGAAATTCATAATGACCTTGATGGGTCCTAAAAGCAGTCTTATGAATATCAGAAGAACAAACCCGGATTTGGTGATATCCTGCTCTCAAGTCAAGTTTCGAAAAAATTTGGGCCCCTCCTAGCTCATCCATCAACTCATCTGCCGTAGGAATAGGAAATCTATCCTTGATAGTGATAGTGTTCAATGCCCGATAATCAATGCAGAAACGCCATGTACCATCTTTCTTTTTAACCAAGAGGACATGAGAAGAAAATGGGCTGGTGCTATTGCGGATTAAACCTGAATCGAGCATTTGTAGCACCTGTTTCTCAATTTCACTCTTTTGAAAATGAGGGTATCTATAGGGCCTTACATTGACAGGTGGTGCATTTGGCTGTAAATGGATGCCATGATCTAATTGCCTATGTGGTGGCAACTCCTTAGGCTCCTGGAAAATGCTATCGAATTCATGCAGCAAGGACTGCACTCGTGGATCCAATTCTGGTGCTGGAACACTAGTATGAGAATCTAGCAAAGTGAGTTGGTATAAGGAAGCTACCTGATCAGAATGCTGAATTCTTCTGAATTGATTGATTGGAATTGGGTTGGGTTGCTTGTCCCTTTGGAGCTTGATGTGTGTACTATTCCATGTAAATTCCATGGTAAGTTGCTGGTAATCCAACACTATAGGTCTCAATCCTTGCATCCATTGCAACCCCAATACCATATCTGCTCCCTGAATAGGTAGTACATAGAAATCCACCAAAAATATATGTTGCTGTATTTGAACTGGCACAGCAGAACATAGGCCTTCACACTGCAAGACTTGACCATTTCCCACCATTACATCAAATTGCTTATCTGTGACTATGGGCAATTGGAGAGTGGAAACTACCTCCGGTTGCAAGAAATTATGGGTGCTCCCCCCATCCACAAGCAAGGTCAATTCAGACTTCCCAATATAACAAGTGAAACGTAAGGTTTGTGGCACAATGAAGCCAGATAAGGCATGGAAACTAATATGAGGTGAATCGATATTAATGGTTTCTGGTGCAATTAATGGCTGGTCTGGTGTGTCTAAGGGTGGAGGTTCATGCTCATGCAATTCATCATCGGGAACAATAAGGAGATGGACTGATGCTTTGCATTTATGGCCTACAAAGTATTTGTCTCCACAATAAAAACAGAGTTTCTTTTCTCTGCGTTCTTGTATTTCACTCTGGCTTAAGCGGTAAGTGGGTTTATTTGTTTGGGAATTGGATATAACAGGGGTAACAGGTTTGGAGTTGGTGGAGTGTGTAGTAGGAGTAGGTAGTAAGGGTGGATATGGAGAATGTAATTTGGAATATGTGGTTTTGGTTTGGAATTTCAGCTCTTGAATTTTGGCTAAGGCGATGGCTTTAGTTAAGGTAGAGGGTTGGAAAGCAGACACTTCATGTTGAATCTGAGTTTGTAAGCCAGAGATAAAGCAACTGAGGAGAAAAGATTCAGAAAGGCCATTTACCTTATTGGACAAGGTTTCAAATTCGGTATGATACTCCATCACAGATCCTCTTTGCATTAACTTGGCTAATTTGCCTTGATAATCCTCAAGTTCCATGGGTCCAAAACAGATTTGGAGGGATTGCAGAAAACCATCCCAAGATGTAATAGCAGTGTTCTTATGCAACCATTTATACCAAGCCAGGGCTTTCCCATCGAAATAAAATGGAGCCACGCGCAAGCGTTGTTCTTCAACGATCTCATAAAAATCGAAGAATTGATTGACCTTAAAGATCCAATCCTGTGGGTCATGCGAGCCATCATATCGAGGCACCTTGATGCGCAAATTCTTGGCTGCTTGAAGATCTCGTGAACCAGAAGGTTGGTGGTGCGATGAAGATGCTAAATGAGAAGACTCACATTCACGGTAGTTATCGAAAATCGCATTCAATTTGCATGTGATTTCCTTGTATTGCCGTTGCATCTGTTCCTTAAGGACTTCAACATCAGATTGAGTTTGTTCCCAGCGATCATCAGTGGACTTAGAACGGGTTTCAGGTGCCATAGTTCAGGGATGAAAGCACCAATTGATAGAGCTACGTTCTATCAAGAAGAGAAGAGAGAGAAGAAGTAAGAATCGAAGAAAAGAAATTCTTATTATCATTCAATGCCCGCTTCTTACACTCGTGCTGTCCTTTTATACTCAAGGTTTCAGCAGAATTACAAGACAATGTAACACTTGCAATCCATTCATCAAAACGGTTATTGGCCGTTGATGATGTAACAGACTTCTAACTAATTTGTTACAAACAAATGAATGGTGTATTGCTCGTAATCCTCGAATCTACTTGGTCTTCTAATCAGTCTCTTGGTCTTCCTTTCTGCTATAGATCTTCCCATCTCTTCCTCTTCACTTGCATGCAGCAAAGATGCTGACTCTTCTTCCCTTGTCTCAGCTGTTGTTGATGTTTCCTCCATTGGGCCTTGATCATTGGGCTGTAAAGGACTGAGACAATTTGGGCTCATATGACATTAGCTTAGATTTCTATGCCAACTTGAAAAGAGCTTCCAGCGACGTTAACAAATTGTAGGGTTAACAAAGAAACAAGCCTCTCGAGCCCTCCAAGCAACAAACCGTCACAGTTGCTTGAATCTCAGGTAATTAACAAATTCTTACCAATGTCTTCTTCGGCTATTCGGACTTGGTTAATTGTAGGGTTCAACGGTCTCATTTTTTATGCATTGTTTTTTTCAATTTGATATGCTTATGTACGTGAGAGTGAAGGGGGAAATGAAATATGATGACAGGGTATCGTAATTTGCTTTGATATATGTGGTTTTCCTATTGCAATTGTAGTTTTCAAACACTATATGTATACGTGTGTTTTTTTTTTTAATAAGTTTAGATGTGTAATTGTGTAAAGAGAAAAAATGAAAACATTAGGTTTAAGTCAATTTATGGGGTTCTCGATGTGCAAATAGCTTTTGTTGTATGAGCTGATATACATCAGCAGTATGTACTGATTGATTCAATTTTTAGATGATTCACTTGTTTCAACATCGTAAGAACCTTGAAAATAAATATTGAGGTGTGACCTTGCTCTGCGCCTATCAAATTGGAGGTTTTAATTAGCTAATTCGGGACAGTGTGTCTATTAATCACTTTTTCAGAAAACACCATAAAGCTTGAAATTTATAGAAGCAACCATAGCATGATACTCTTGTATTAGAATAAATTCATAGATACAACAATCTCATATCCCATAAATCTCATTTATACTTTTATTTAGTGTTCATTTCACTATTTCAGCCAGCTATTTCTGTTGTTTTTATTTCTCGTTCTGGCTTTTTCGGTATTGCGGGTTTCAAAGTTTTAAGTTCATTTTGAAACTTAGTTGGTCTCGATTGCTTTTGGTTATTTGTGCTTTTTGTTTCTTTTTCTCTTTGAGTTTCTATCGGCTCTAAGAAAGTTGTGCATAACTTTGTGGTGGCAAACGAATTTTTGGAACCCATTTATTTGTTTATTCTGTTTTTTTTTATCTGTAATGGTATTTTTCAAATTTCTGCTCCTTGGTTGAGTGCAGGTTACTACAGAACAACAACATCTCTGGCAAAATCCCAAGGGAGCTTGGTATACTTCCCAAACTTCAGCCTTTAGATCTTTCCAATAATAGATTATGTGGGGTGATACCAGGGTCTCTCAGTCAGTTAAATAGTCTTCAGTACCTGTGAGTATTTTTTTCCCCTACATACTTCTTTTTCTTTCCTCTTTTGCTGAGAAAGTGCGGGAAAATTACTTTGAAATATGTGTTTTTGGCGTTAGTAAAATTTAGAAGGGAATTACATAAGCAACAATTGGCCGCTATCTTCGGTTTAGTTATTGACTTTAAAAAGAGATCATACTATTGTTATTCTGTGAAATATCTAAATAATATCTAAAAAGGAGATCATACTATTGACTTTAAAAAGAATAGTGTCTGCAGTTACTCCAGACAATTCCTACCATATATAGTAGAAACATTTCAGTTTTCAAATGCGAAATGGGCACAAAAGTAGATGAGTATATGAAGAATGAGAAAAAATAGCATGATGAAGTATGGAAGTAGACCCCAATTGTTTTAATGCTTACTTCATACTTGGTCTGCTAGGCCCTCTGTACCCTTGTTCAAACAAAGGCATTTAGTTAATTTGGCTATTTTCAACAAATTTCCACTGGACTACCTGCGTTTGGTAATCAAAACTTAGTTGCTGTAAAACTTAGTTGCTTCAAATCCTCAATGTAACTCTCAATGAAAAGCTCTATTTTGTTGTTACTAATCTGATGTGATCCATCCCAATAAGAAATATAGGAGGATGTATTGTAGGAAGAGGTGTAGAGTATTGGTGAGTCAGCATTAGTTAGTTGGTTAGAACAGTTAGTGGCATGACTGACATCTATAAAACATAAGGTAAGAGCTTAGAGGAAGCATCTGGAATCTTGTCTTGCTTTATTTAGGATAGAAGCAAATGAAGGTTCTTAGCTTGTGTTAGTTTGACTCATCAAATTGCTTTGGCATCATTCCAATAATGGATTAATTATTGGTTTAACTAATAATTGGTGCAGGATTTTGGGTTTGGGTGTTGTAGGAAAGAAATTTGCTCTGATTCTTTGCTGGAACTTGGTCGTGTTTCTTCCTTGGATCAAGTGTTGGAACATGATGTCAGAGGTTTGTGTCTTTTTTTTTTTAATTAGTTCCCCTCGTGTTCATACATTTTCTTGGTGTTTCTATGCTCGTGACTTGCTTTATGATATTAATCACATACTTATGCGTGATTCACTCCAGGTAATTATTAGTTACAACTTATATGGATTGGTTAATGGATTAATTATCTGATTTTATTTTATTTTTTACAACTTTTATTTTCTTCTTAAGTTGCATTGGGACACGTTTCTAACCAATAATTAACTTATGTGCCAGTCAGATGTAGGATTCCAACTACAGAAATAACATTTTCTTAATCAAATTTTGTTATCTTTCAGTTTCTATAACCCCTCTTGGCTTAACAGCCCTTTTTTCTTTTTCTAGCTTAGTGATTGTCCTAGTGGTTTGGGTTATATTTCGTATTTGCTGATTCTTCTTAAGCTCTATTTTTGCTTTCTGTTGTAACCGTAAAAATCTTATTTGGTATAATTTAGTTAAAACTTATTATTTTAACTTATTCTTGGCATTCATTATAAGTTCTATTTTATGTTAACTCTGTGTATGACATACATGTTGTGGTCACTTGTTATACCCTGATTTAGGCATCAAGGCAGGATGCTTAGATTGAGAGAAAACCTTGGAAGTTGGAATTGCATGAGAAAATTGGTGGGAAGACAATAATATTTTGTGCTTTTAATTGAACGAACTTATCTATTTTATTGAACTAACTTTTAATTGAACTAACTTAAGGGACTTGCAAGTTTGAGTATTTGACCGACAACATGCATTCTTTTCTTAACATTGGTCATTGCAAGCCATATAAGTTAATTAATTTTTTTAACACATGCATTCTTTTTTTTGGCTGATCTTTATGATTATTGATGAAGCACCTAATCAAGTGAAGGTACATAAAAGAGTGCTAGCTCACCCACCATCACAAGAAGAGTCTCGCCAAGTAGAAAGAAAGGAGAATTAATTAATTGATCATAGGTATCCTATGCTGTTCCCAGTTCTCTTAATTTGGATGTGTGTGACTTTTAATTTTTTATTGGGATTAAAGGCTGTTTGCAAAACTATTTTGGTAGTGTGATCTCCGAGTGATGTATTTTGAAAACGGAGAGAGTGTTCAGGTGTATGTTATTATTATTTCTTTTGTATACAATAGGTGTATGTTATTTTTGGTTTACACGATAAAAGTATTTCACCAAGTTCAAGATTAAACCCATGTAGCTTTTCCTTTTATTTTCATATTAAAAATAAAAAGAACAAAGGTCGGGTTAGCGAGTTGAAATGATGTTGATCAGATTAGGAAACTAGGATAAAGAATGGACAAGTTAGGTAGAGTTAAAAAGGTTGGATGTTCTCTTTATTTGTTTATTTCCTTTTATGATTATTGTAATAATATATAAGTATTTTTAAGTTGAGAATTACTATGTTATTGGGGATTTGGAGTTTACATTAATAATGAGATTTGTGGGTCTTGGTCTTGGTCCCGGGATATCTTATTCCTAGTTGGAATAATTAATTTATGTTTTCCTAATTCATGGCTCTTTATACAATGAGTGCTAAGTAAAATATGTATTATAATAGTGTGTATTTTTTGTATAACTGACAATTTTTATTTATTAAAAATTGAAGGGTCACTTTAAATATATAATAATTTTTAAGCTAAAAAATTACTAAATAAGGTCCATTATTATTATTTATTGAATTCATTTTCTTGGTTTTAAGATTCTTTCTTTCTTTTTCTCCTTTTTCTTTCATTTTCTTGGTTTTAAAATTACTAAATATGTCTTTAAGTGAACAATATATAATATAATATAATATATTTATGATATATATTGTTCACTTAAAGACATATTCTAAGATCATGATTTGTAACACTCATTTTTTAAATAATAGGATTGGTATTATTTTAACTAATAATAAATATATATTTAAAATTTAAAATATAATACAAAAATAAATTAGTAAAGAAAGTGCAAGTTATATGTATATATACATATATGAAATTTTCATGTGATCTTTATGAACATTTTCATATGATCTTTATGAACATTATTTCATGTGTTGTTAATGAAAATATTATTTCATGTGATTTTTGTGAATAAGAAATTGGGATTATCATTTCTGCTTCTAAATACTCACTTCCCAATTTACTAAATACTCACTTCCCAATTTTCAACCGCAGCAAATTTGAGAGTGGCTTGGACCACGACAGATGGGACCGCCTTGTCGAGATGAGTCGAGCGACGGTGGTCTCGTCGAAAAAATCTCTAGAGCGATGGTCAATGACGATCGGCAGTGGTCAACGTGGCTACAATGGTGGTAGAATCTTTGGTAGCAATACGAGGGCAACCAACAAAAAAGAATTGGGTCCGGAAACTGATTAATGTGTCAGTTTCCCAAAAACAAAACACGCATTTTACTTAGAGGACAGTGAGTCCTCCTTAAAGAAGAAGATTAAGATTCTTTTAATTAGGCTCTAAATATCATATGTCGAATAACTAGATTTGAGAGGAATACGGTAAAATCCTTGTTTCTAAACTACAAAAATTCTATTATATAATATATCGAGTAGAGATTACAATAAAAGTTTAAACTATGCGGGACTTCATCTCCAACATTCAATGTGAGACTACTCTATTTTCAACATATGATATAATAACAACCTAATTAACAAATTGATATGTAATCGCATAAGTATCCTAATTAAAATTAAACTACTAAAAAGTAAGGGTAATCCTTATCCATACACACACAAATATTTATTTGTACAAGTTAGATAAATAATCTTTTATCTTTAATGCCTTGGTGGGAGTAAAATCATTATAATTCTAAATTTTTAGAAGAAAAAAAATAAAAGAAAATTATCAAATTTAATTTAATTTTGTTCTTTTCCTTTATCTCCATTAAGATATTTGTAACAAAGTTTGAGGGCTTTCTAATATTTTGTTGAAGATTAGTAAATTTTTATTATTCTTGCCAAAGAATAATTGGTAACAGTATATAATGTACACATTTGATTTTACTTGTATTTTTATTATTTATATACAAAATTTGAAATCAGAACTCAGCTAATAAAAATATATCTAGGTAAATGAATCATACTCAACATTTTTAAAATAATTAATTCATTAAAAACGCATTTTTATTCCTTTATTAGGTTCTCATTCGTCAAGAATATTTACATTATAAAACTTTATATCTTAATCGCGTGTGATTGGTCTAATGATGAGGGATTTGGATAATTTGTATTAGGTCGTGATTGTATAAAAAAAAAACATTTATATCCTAATTTAATTACTCAAAATATTATATAAAAGCAAACATTTTTAAATAAATATATATATATATATATATATATATATATATATATATATATATATATATATATATATATATATATATATATATATATATATATATATATGGAAATGGATCCTCTAATGTGCCAAAAAAACATGATATAGTCATGTGGGAAGATCACAACCATACAAAGGTAAATCAACGGTTATGATTTTGTAACTACTTATTTTATCATTTTTTCTCTCTCCTCCTTTTTTACCATTGATCCACTTTGTATGGTTATGATTTCCCACATTACATGGTCATGTGAATTTTCACATTAGAGGATCCAGATCCATATATATATATATATATATATATATATATATATATATATATATATATATATATAGAGGTAGTATCCTTTGACACCAGTGTCAAATTTGAAATTTGACACCTCATCTGAGAACAGTTAGATCAAAAAAGATCAACGGTATCACATACTTACAAATCAAAGTCGTTGATCTTTTTTTATCTAACGGCTCTTAGATGAGGTGTCAAATTTTAAAATTTGACACTAAATCCTAACCCTTGATTTTCGCCAATCAACGGTTATCATTTATTGGGATTAGAATTTAGGAGTTAGTGTCAAATTTCAAAATTTGACACAGGTGTCAAAGGATCTGACCTAGGGGTGGCAATACGGGTCAACACTACCCGACACGACACAACACGAACGACACGCGAACACGAAATCGCTCGACCCGTACACGACACGTTTTGTTGACAGGTCAAAAAATATGAACCCGGACACGACCCACTGTGTGTCACGGGTCAACACGACACGATACGTAAAATTTGAATTTTTTTAAAAAATAAAAAATAATAAAAACAAATGAAAACCAGAGTGATTAGAAATGTTAAAACAAAAATATTGAGAATTTTTTTAAAGAAAAAAATATATTAAAATCAACTGAAAGATCGGAGTGATGAACAATAACCAATTCTACCATATCCAGTACCAGAAAGAATTAAATTTGACCACTCAAACCATTTAAAATTGTTTGGAGAAACTGTGGGCCACCATCAAATAGAAAAACTAAAGAAACACGTTTCTTTGTCAGTGCATCACCAATATAAAAATTTCATTCCTTCTATTATCATCATCTACAAAAATACCAATTATATCCTTCCATTCCATCGATCATATCTGTAGGCGAACAAGGCTGTGGACCAACCCGTGACCCGTCACGAAAAAAATTCGTGTCAATTTTCCTAACCCGTACACGACCCGTTGTGACCCGTGAGATGACACGACACGCGTTTTGACAGGTCGTGTCACAGGTCAACCTGCGGGTCAATACCTGTATTGCCACCCCTAATCCTACCCTTATATATATATATATATATATATATATATAGGGGCAGGATATTCTTACACCAGTGTAAGAGTTAGAAGTCTTACACCCAATCTTGACCATTGATTCACTTCTATCCAATGGCTCACATTACTAAAAAATTATAACCCTTAGATATAAGTGGGATCAATGGTCAAGATTGAGAGTGTAACTTACACTGGTGTAAAATGATCCTGACCCATATATATATATATATATATATATATATATATATATATATATATGGGTAAGATCTTTTGACGCCAGTGTCAAATTTAAAGTTTGACACCTTATCTGAGAGCCGTTAGATAAAAAAAATCAATGGTGTCACATTCTTATAAATCAGAGTCGTTGATCTTTTTTTATCTAAGGGCTCTCAGATAAGGAGTCTAACTTTAAATTTGACACTGATGTCAAAGACTCCAACCCTTATATATAGAGAGAGAAATTTGTCATAATGCTCGTATTTTTATATCTAGTATATATCTAATGTAAATTTTATTATATTAATATACAAAAATTATATTTTTTTACTGCAGTTGGCGGATGTTGAAACAAACATTTCTTTTTACTGGATTTAGGGAAAAGTTTAATTATCCCTTGTAGTTTGCTTTTAAATCACTTATCCCAATGATTTTTCTTTTCTTTTTTTATCATTTATTTTCTTTTTTATTCAAGTCCCTCTTTAATAATGTTAGAGTTTTTAATTAGGGTTTGTTTTTTCTAAAGTTCCTTTATAACTTTATTTAATATTCATTGAAACGACGTCATTTTGGAGCGAAAATCATGGTGATTTTGTAATTTTAATTTATTTCAGGATTATAATAGTCTTTACCATTTTAATTTTTTAATTTTTCAACCCCAGAATGATGTCGTTTCGATGAACATTAGATAAAGTTGCCCAAAGTAACATTAGATATTTTATAACTTCAAAACATATTTATCAAGTCAAGATCTTTCACAAAAAGTAGTTGGAAGCAAGCTAAAACACATCTGAACTTAAAATTTATTGCTTAATTTCGCTGCTGTCTTCCATACACTTTTTAGCCAAGATCAAGTTACAATTTTTTAATTTTTCAACCCCAGAATGATGTCGTTTCGATGAACATTAGATAAAGTTGCTTATTGTTTTATTGCTTGGATCTTGTGTTCTTCATAAAAGTTGTAGATTTATCTTTTATCTTTCCAACAAGACCAAGATCACATCAATCCAACAAGTATAACTCAAATTATAGCTAAAATACGAAACAATGTTTTTGCTGTCAAGTTGGGAATCAATTACCACTGCGATAGATCTCAACGACTATAAAATGGCTAATTTTTCAAATGAGATCCCAACAGCTATAAAACGACTAATTTTTCAAATGAGATCCCAACGACTATAAACGGGTAGTTTTCCAACGGCTATAAACGGGTAGTTTTCAAACTGCTATAAACGACTAGTTTTTGGAAACACTATATATGCATTCCCAATGACTCAAAAACATTTGAGCATTATCTCTACACACATTCAGCATCCTTTGAGAGCTTCTACACTATCACTTGCATATTCTTTCATATCTTTCAAAGATCAAATATATTTGAGCTCATATCTTGAAAATCCATATACCCATAGTGCTTCAAGTTGTATATCCACACTTTGAGAGTGTATATTCATTTCGAAATATTTTCCCATTGTATTCTTGAGTTGAAACGGTTGTGAGACCCATTGTTTGAGAGGTGGCCAAATACCTAAGTAAATTTGGAGTGAATTGTAAGGTTACCAAGTACCCGTAAACTTGGAGATTGAAAGGTATCCAACAACCCGAAGTCTTGAAAGATTGTAAAGGTTTGTCAAGAACCCGTGAAGCTTGACCATTAGTGAAATAGTTGATCGAACGGCTTCAGTCTGGACGTAGGTCACAAGTGATGGTGACCGAACCAGGAAATATTGTGTTAGCAATTCTCTAAACTCTAAACTCTTTATTTCTAGCACTTTAATTGCTTCTTTGATATCTTGTATGTGCTAGCATAAGCTCTATAATTGTGATATATTATATGTTATGGATTGTCTGAATGTATTGATTAGCTTTCCATATATCAAAGTTTGCTTTAAATAATTATTTAGAAACTAGAAGGGGACTTTTGCGAAAATTTTATAATACTAAATTCACCCCCCCCCCCCTTGAGTATGGAAGCCACATTCCTAACAAGTGGTATCAGAGCCTAGTGCTCAGTTAGAGGTTTAACCGCCTAGAGTTAAAGATCCTTGTTGGGGCTTCCAATATAATTTTTATTTTTTTTAAAACGCAAGGCTTTGAATGTGATAAACCACCATTTTTTGATGGTGAGGATTTTGAATATTGGGTGAAAAGAATGGAAGTTTTTATTCAGTCAATTCATTTTTACATGTGGCATGTTGTAGATAAAGGCTTTTCTTTGAAAATAGAAGAATCCATGAATGATTTCAATAAAAGATGTTTTGTCTTCAATCTTGAGGCTATGCAAATGCTTAGAAAAAGTGTATATGATGATGCATATGCTAAGATTAAACATTGCATGAATGCTAAAGATATATGGGATACTCTTATTGCTATCTATCTTGTCAATAATGATTTTGTGCATAAAGATGCATATAGAGAGCAAGAA